TTCTAGTTTTTTGTCTTGTATGGTATCCTGGCTTCTGTTACTCCGAGTATATCGCATTTGATCTTCTCCATGGCATTGTCCAGTTCGACTTGGCGTGCTGCTGTTGAAATAGATCGGCTGTTTATTGTTCCAATGAAGAGACGTCCAATACGGATGGCCATGAGGTTAGGCGATAGTCTGCCGTGGGGCCCAATCACTTCTGGCAGACGATACTGGGCTGCGGGTAGGAAAGTGGCTGGAGAGGTGGAAGAAACCGACCGGCTGCCACCACGGAAGCACCAAGAATGTAGACACCTATAATGTTGGAGTAATTTCGAGTTCGATTGAGCTCGACATCGAGCTTTCTTTCAAGAAAACCGACTAAGATTAAGTAGCACGCCACAAGTAATCTTCAGATTGGTACCAGATTTTCGAAAACGTTTTTGGTCCATCAAACAACTTGAGAGGGGCAGTGCCTCCTCCTGACAATGAGCTTCCCAAAGACAGTTCACTGACGTATAAACCTCCAGGCTTAGGGGAGGGCAGGGTGAGATTGGAGCGATTGCTAAGTACGTATAATGCACTGGATATCGAAATAGAGGAAATAGTAAAAAAAAGTGGTAAAGAACAATGAATGAGAATACCTGGAATGCTTACTATGCTCTAGTTAACAAGGGAGTGAAAGTATACTTCAATCATATTTGGAATCAATTTCACCTCGTTCTTGAGCTTAAGCCGACTAAACTTTAGGAATGGAAATCGGAATTACCCGAAGGCAGACGCGAAAAACAGACCTTTCCAGCTAATCCCAGACACTAGGTCTCCCAAGACTCCGAGAACCATTTACAATCGTCTGACAACTTCTAAATAGTTTTCAACACGTATTTTAATTTTGCATGGGCCTAGGTGTTCTCATAGTGTACGAGTAAACTCAAGGAGGCACTGAGAATCAGGGCCTTTGTCATTCTGATACGAGCAAGTTGATGTGCAGGTGGAAGAATTGACTCTGCGCAATTCCACATTCTACACTAAACTGTGTTAGGTAAGCATCCTCCCAGCCCATACTGTCGCTAAACAACTTCTTGCCTCTACTGAAACATTTCGTAGTTTTTGTCCTGCAGGTCGCCTCTCATCAATTTTTTCTTTCTACGCACATGGTCACTCCGTGTATAAAACATGAAAATTTGATAAAAGCGTTGATTTTTGCCCTGTTTCATCTGTCGAATGACGGATAAGGCATTCTTAACCTTCCTTTCAGGCAACTGCAGACAACCATTCACCTTGTTCTGTATAATTGAGCTTTTAGAGTCCCCGGAGCCTTCGGACCGAAGAGAACTTGTGTGGACCTTGTGGAAGTGAGAACTTCGTTTGCCATGCCAAGATAGGTGCTGGCTGAAGTTAGTTCAGAGTAGCATGCGAGGATACTCGAGTCAACCTAACAGCTAGAAAACGCCGCATAAGTGTAAGCTACGTGGTTTGCTAAGCGTAAAACTTGCACTCCAATCACCCACTGCATCCTTTTTGGTGCACTGTTCACCCTGAATAAAAACAGTAGGAAAAATGTTTGATCTGGTCCATGAGGATGGCTCTTATTCCAGATCGAATTTTTTCAGGGATTCATGTCGAAAATGGTACTCATCGATCCAGACTGGCAGCACAAGGACAAAAACTTACCTTCAAGATTCGTGGTGAAGGTATTCACTTTTAAGTTTCAAATTCTTCAACTGACATCAGGAAATGGGACATACCTTTAGGAATTAAATCAAAGTTTGATCATTATTGAGCATTTAGAGATGTTGTAAAGAGTAGATGGAGTTTGTAGGGGGCAACAATGCCAGGAATCACCGAACAGCACTTGTTTACCCTCTTATAGTTGATGAAGTTAGCTAACTTGGTAGGCTTCGCGTGATTCCAGACTTGTCTCTCCCATCGTTCTTACTCGTACCCATCCTATCTCAAACCTGACACTTTCTCTCCAGGTGCTCGTTCGGGCTATATGAAATTTCTGGCCAAACAAACAAGTAAGCAAACAAATAAGCAAACAAACAGACAGAGACAACAGAGCGACAGGCGCGAAAGCGTTATGTATAGTAAGGGTGCATACCCACAACTATGTGAACGCGTGCTCTACCATTACCTCTTAGAAAAAACTGATTATATCAGCAAAGAAACATTGATTTCAGATTCTTACCCAATTGGCTATTCAAAAAGTTTTCACTGAAATGAGCGAAATGAACAACGTCAAGAATTCCGTTAGTGATCCTAAGTTCATGGCTGATATGGAAGAGATGCAAAAAGTCGTGAGTCTGATAAATTCGCTTATGCTTTCTTTCTGTTATGTGATATATTATTCAACTTATAGTCTATTCATGGGTTTACTGAAGTTTTCCTTCCCACGCTTGTAAGATGCCCGTTAATGAAAACTGCTTCTGATTCTCAATTAGCTAGTCCAGAACTCAATCGTATCCAATACATTAGCCTCATCTACGTAATAAGCTGAAGCGGGATAGAGGTTTTGATGCTGATCAGTCCCGTTTTGGTATGCCACCATCCATATGCCCGACTTCCATTCAGAATCCGAATGACGTTTGGATTTAATTCTGGTTTTAAGCAGGAAAGAAATGGAAAATAAACAAGCAGTGTTTTCAATCTCCAGACTGCTCTGGTTTCACTTAACCAATCCCGGGAAGTTAAAGCTTTGCTCAGCCAAAATGAGGAACTGAGGACTTCGATGCCAGGATTTGTTCCATCGACCAGTGCGACCTAACAGGGCGACCTCCCCCAACAGCCCAGAGTCGGCCTCAGAGGAATGACGGAACTTGTCTTCAGAAGCGAATGGGGCTTGATCTTATGAGGAGAGATTGTGTTCTGTGCCAAACTAGAATGTAGAATTTATGGTAATACCAATTTGACCACAATCAGTTAACAGCTTAGTTTAATATGAGGTGGAGATGGTCAGCGATTTAGTGATGCTGCTGGGAGACGGACCCAGCACGTCATGTAAATGTTGCCCTACTCCCTGAGATTCCCAGTTCTTGAAGCGTTCGCTTCGTCCGGATCTCCCTCGGATAGGTAGAAACGCTCATTCGAACATTGGAAGGACCCATGCACATTGCCAGCGACTTTATGTGCATGTTGGACAGAAATTTTATTGCCATCATAATTTTGGGTAGATTTCGAAAACATGGCGTGCCTTAACAATGAGTATGTAACACCTTCGTCATGTTTCAGCTATATTATAGTAATGGAACTGTTCCAGTGCCACAATGCCGAAGTTAGGACATATAAGCATCTGATGAAGGCTACCAAAGAAGGGATGCGCATTCCAAAGGTATGCTATGATGATTTACCTCGACATAGGTTATCAAGTAACATTGGCAATTACTCATGAAGTTTGTCTCATTTCCTCCTCAGTGCTGCATTTCGTCAATTTTTTTTGGGATTATTGATATCAGTTTTCTGCTTGTAATTAAATAGATGACGATAGTTTAAGTGTGATAATCCAATTTATATAATTCCTACTAACTACTGTCCTTTCAGATCTACTACATGAAGATGTTCACGGAGAGCAATCCACTCAAAGGATACATTATCATGGAATACATAGATAATTTAAGAGCGGTACCCATATATGAGAACGTTCCACCAAGAGGGGTAAAGCAGGTAGGTGGCAAAGAAAAGCAACTAGTTCACCGCGACTCTAGAGCTAGAAAAAATACTAACGACGGCTGTGACCAGTTATTTTGGAGGGAAGGTTGCTGAATCTATCTACATTTCTCCCTTCCCGGCTTCCTCCCCCGCTCTCCTTAGCCTCCCCTTCTTCTTGGTCAACACCATTTCCGCTTTGCTGCCTCTTCCTCCTGGCTAATGCCTTTACATCTTTGTAATGTTCTGTAAAGACTTACATTTCAAGCTCCCAAGGCCATTGAACAGCGTTCATCACCCTTCAAGTCGGCTTTTTTTGGTTCCATAGTTGCACGAGCGATTTTTACGGCATGAGCGATTTTTATGCATTGTTTTTTTAGCAGTATCCTCTATTAAGGTTCTTCGACATAAAGCCGTAATGGAGGCCATTTCACTGAAAATGCCTATTGAAGAAAGAAGCGGATTCACATCACCTTTTCAAACTGTTTTCAAATCTATGTTTGAAAAGGAGGTACGGCTCTTGAGCAAAATACTAGGCACACTCGCGGTTCTAAAGAAATCGCCTTTATCATTTCCCTGGTGAAATACTGAGAAAAGCTGACCATTCTGGAAATTTTCCAGATGTTGGACCACTTTATGGCGATGTTCGCTGCTTTCGGTGGCGAGAAACTTGCTGAGAAATGTGAACATGTGAAGGCGATCTTATCGGATATGGTCGACCTAGAATGGGTGGATAATATGGCAGAAGAGTTTGGTATGTTTTATATCAAACCCCGCGGATGCTAAAGGAACTTCCAATTCCGAGGTATCTAGTTCAAGCGAGTAATGGGAATTATGGTGTAGAGTAGTGCAAGGGTGGCGAAGAAAGCGCTACGGATTCCGAGAAATATAAACCTTCAAAGGATCAGTATGAAGGGGGATGTACGAGATTACATGTCGGTAATCGTCTGGGTGTCTCCCGCACAAGCGTACTATTCGTCGGCTTCCTAGCGCTTCAGTGTGATAATGCAGCCCTTTTAACGCCTCGTCGAGGTACTTTTTCGACCCGGCAATGCCTCTTGTGCTGTCCACATGAGCCACAGGTTTATCCTGTGAGAAAATCTTGAGAAACGTTTTTAAAGTGGGCGTAGCGAATGCTCTAGTAATCGTTTTCGTGAGTTGTAAGTGAATAAAACCTCGTCCGTAGAGGGAATGGCAAACCTTCTCTTGTAAGGCTATCCCTAGGCTTCTGTTCCTAGGCGTGAAGTCGGCAGCGTGTATAGTTCATGGCGTATCTTAAGTGAGTCATGAAGATTATCCAGCGAGTAATGTTTGTCTTAATGTTTATCCAACCTTACTTTTAGAATTTACTCACACATTCGACCTCAGCAATAGCGTTTACATGCGTTTGCTGCTTATACATCGAGTTCGAAGACCAGTCGGTGAAAAAGGGATCCCAAAACCTTCAGGCGGTGCTTTTGCCACCCATTGGCATGGAGTATGCAGTTTGATTAACCCCGGCGGAAACTCATAAGAAGTGTAAGCAATGGACCCCAGCAATGGAATGGAGCAATGCGAATGTGTTATTGGTATCATCTATCTTCGCTTCTGCAGGGGCGTGAGGCAAATCTCGAAAAGTTTGAACGAGCAGAATCTATTCGCCTATTCTACCTTCCTCATAGAAATTGTCTTATGACTAGGACTTTCACGCTAAATTCTTCTACAAGTACTCACAGCCTCCTCAAAGCACGATTTCAGGGATGGAACGGGTTTTATGTCATGGGGATTTGCATTCCAATAACATTCTGTGGCGAGAAAATGGCGAAAACTATGATATGGTGGCTGTTATAGACTATCAGGTGACAGTAGGGGAGACAAAACTTAGGCCGAAGGTGGTGTTCCTGGTTACCGTCTAGAGTATTCTTCAGATAGCTCATTTCGGATGTGCAGCTACCGATCTTGTACGGCTATTCTCCGGATGCTTGAGTGGCATTGATCGACGAGCGCAATGGGAACAGCTGGTCGAAGATTTCTACGGATACCTCAGAGAAGAAGTAGACGACAGCAGGATGCCATATACTCTCGAGCAGGTATTCCTAAAACTAGAAACAGCTTCGCCAGCTTGAAATACCTCAATACTTTATCGAAGTTTTCAAATTTTTTCATTTAGCTGAAGGAAGCCTACCGTCAATACTTCCCAATTGGAGCTTTCATGATAGTGACTGTCATAGGACCGTTTTTTGAACTGGTTTGCAAAAGCTCCGATGAAAACTTGAGGAAAAAGGTAAAGGAAATAATCCGTTCTGAGGGGGATGATGAGATAATCTGTTCTGAAAAAGGTTTCTTGCAGGGCATAGACGTTGTTATGGAAAAAACAGAGTGCCTGCTTGACGACATCTTCTTCTATCATAATCGAAATATGGAACTCCGAAAGAATGGAAAAGTTGCCTAGTGTTTCAGAATAAATCTTTTTATTGACTTCTGCGACTGATCAGTGCTCAAAACAGCTTCACAATCAATCAAAATACAAATAAATATAGAAGAGTATTGTTTTATAATGATGTGAGACGACATATTTGGTTGTTAGGTAAACAATGATGTACTATTATCATCATGTCAAACAATTGCAAGCCTTTTTTGTCCCTGCTTAAGGACAAGTCAGTCATAGAGATTGTAGATGCTGTCACCTGAACTCTGGTACACTAGGTGAAAAAGATGGAGCGTGGATACCATACGAACTTTCTACCCTGTTACTTTTTGATACTCATATAGCCATCAAGGGCGATGTCCCCGAATAAGGTGATGCGAGCATCCATAACATCTGTGAACGTGAAGACTGATTTACCAAGAATTCCGTGGATATCCAGTGCCAAGCAGCCAAGAGCGGGGGCAGAGTGTCCTAAGCTGTCTCCTCCGTCTACGTCGATCGTTAGAAAATATCAATTTGTAGTGTATTCCATGAGTTTCAATGGTCCCTTTCCAGCGATTTGGGATTTACTTCAGCTCTTTCAAAACAGATGTGAACCTGGCAGATTTTTCAAGGGCGAGCTCAGTCCTTTTCACAATAGGAAGCCGAAGGGAAGCATCGTACATTAGACGCCTTCATAGTCTCATTGGTAGGCGCAGTATAGTCCCGTAAACAATGTATTTTACCTTTAATCAAAAGTGGCAGTTGTAGATCGGGTTAATAGTAGTGGGTCAATGTTCTAATTAACTTATCGGACCTCCTGTCATTGATTCGGTGGTACCTAGCCGTACTGAGCCTTGCTCCATCGTCCTTCTGTTCACATCCACTTTTTTATGATTTTTTTCCTTGGCCTGGCAAATTGGATTTTTGACATAAATCCATTGAAACCACCAGAAGATATGCTCTGACTTCAATTCTGTTTTGCTTCGCTTGTTAATGGCAGTGTATGTGATTGAGAATAGAAAAAAGAAACACACGGATTTAACAGAAGAACCCTCATGAGATTATAGGTTTTTTTTTTAAATCTGACATCCATAAGTCTCAGGACATTATCTTCTAACGGAATTACCGATCCCTGAAAAATGGTAAATTCTCTCTCATGAGTTGCATTGCTGTTCATAGCCTGAATCATTTCCTTATGATCCTCTCCCTCCTCAATCCTCTCCCAACGGTTAGGACTTTTCAGCCTTACAATTAGTCTGGAACATAACCTATAGGCTGGTAGTGAGCTGGTTCTGACCAAGAATTGATCAATTCCAACTCATCCAAGACAACTCTTCTGGTGACAGGCGTATAATGCTTCGAAAAGCTCCTTTTCGTTGATTTTCCCTTTATCCAATTGAACACACGATTTCTTGACTAAAATATAGAAACTACTCAAGCTCTGAAAATGCTATCAAAATCTTTGTGCATTCAGATTAGCCTCCATTTAGGGATATACTATAATAACGCAATTTTAGTTGTTTCACCACCGTCGCATCTGATTGTTGGTGAAAACTAGCTATGCTTTCAGATGAAATCAAATGCGATGTTCCGTTGTCAGCACAAGAATATGTCCTCGGGTCAGCTCCCACTTTGTCGTGTCCGCTGGAAGTCGCTGAAGTTGCTGATAAAGTCAGCCGAATTTCTCAAGCAGCTTCCATTGAGGGTCTGAAGTGGGCATTGGACTTTGGATTCAGGAACGATGTGCAGCGACTCAGTCTGAATTCAAGTGCTGCAGCTGATGCCTAGGTCAGTGGTTCTTACCATACATTACTGCTTGCTCCATATGTGAATTCATTGTTCAGTTAGGGTGTAGAAAGAGTTGATCAATTACCACGTCTGCGCCTTTCTGCTTGATCTAGGTATCTAGAGTATCCTGTGAATCGCAAAAAAACGCAGGCAGAAGACGACTTGAAAAGAGAGCGAACCACCCTACAAGCACATACAGCGCGAAGAAATCTTTAATTGATGTTTCGATAACACTCCCTGGCTTCAGAAGCTTTTCTCTTCTCTCCTGTCTAGCCCATGGTCTCAGCCATAGACTGCTCCGCTTTGCCCTGATCTGTAAGCTTTGGTGTATGTCCCGTTGCGGTCACACCCCCAAAGTCAGATGGCTCAATGGGCATTGGCCTTCGGTTCAATTGTCTGACTTTGCGAGTTTCTGATATAAATATCCATCGAAACACATGACCAGTTCTATGACGTGCTAAACCGACCATAATCATGCTGTCCCAGTTAGGCGGCTCTAGACATCCGAGTGGAAGGTTCTTTTCGGCGCATCCCCTATCGGACTCTCATCGATACCGCCCGCCTGCCAACCACCTCCTTCTTCTTTGTAACTTTTGTTTTTTTTGGTCGTTTCTAGATTGTATTCATATTTTCCTTTCAATTTATATTAGACAGAGATTTGACGATTTTTAATCAATCTTACATACTTCTTGAGAGGACCCGAAGATGAAGATCGCGGCGGAAATGGGATTTCATTTATAACTTGCGTACCTGAATAGGACTAAGGATACTGGTTGTAGCTGTGGAATTCGTCTGGTTGTTAGGCAGCATCCAGACGATGTGTTGACGTGAAATGTAAAGCTCCATTTCATTCCCTGGGATATCACCTGATGATTTCGTATTCGACGATCACAAATAGGATGTCGTTTAGGATGTTTTGATGGAATGTGGGACTATTTTTATTGGATGTGTACTTGGGTTCAGTGGAACTGGTGCTGCTCTTCTAAATCTGAGCCTAAGCTTGGATGGGCCCAGGAAATCATTTCCACTCACTTCCATACAGTGCAACCCGTAAATATCCAGATCAACCTCATTCATGAAGGCGAGTATAAACGAAGGTTGAGCTTGGAATGAGGAATGGCAACTTAGCCTTCCCTAGCTCTCACTATGTAAATCGACATAGTGATTATTGATTACCGTATTGATCGCCTTTTTGGGATAGCACTGGATTGATTGCTTCAAAAGTGACATCTATAGACCGGCTACTTACTGTTGGCTCGATCAACCGTTTGAAATATGTTCAAATCCCCTTGAGGGCAGCTCCAGGTCGGAACTCTCAGACGGAATGGGAACCTCTCTTTAATGTGTGGACGAGGGATTTGTATACACGATGAAATCATGCTGTCAGGGATTGCTTACCTTACCCTCTCGACTCCTTAGTGATTTCTCGGGAATCTTCTACGCTGGGTGTATTTCATTGATTAAAGTTCAAGGTTCAAAATGTAGTCGGATTTCGNTTGAGGGCAGCTCCAGGTCGGAACTCTCAGACGGAATGGGAACCTCTCTTTAATGTGTGGACTAGGGATTTGTACACACGATGAAATCATGCTGTCAGGGTTTGCTTACCTTACCCTCTCGACTCCTCAATGATTTCTCAGGAATCTTCTACGCTGGGTGTATTTCATTGATTAAAGTTCAAGGTTCAAAATGTAGTCGGATTTCGACCTGATGTCTCAAAGGTCAAAGTTCAGAGTGCACGCGAACCAAACCCAGGCTATTGATTTCTGGTTTTCCTTGGTAAGTATCTTTCGTGTACACCCTTTTCCTGTTTGGGAACATCCACTAGGAGACCAGTCTGCGAACCTCTTTTGTTTAGATTAACATGCACTGACTTCTTGAGCCGTCGTTACAACAATTAGGTACGTTTGCATGGCAACTGAGAATCTATGCCCATCCGGCCCAGATTTCGTTTGAAGAAAAGTTATATTGCTTTGAAGTGCCTCTCCTCATCGAAACCTGAGCGTTGTACGTCGTGGTCCTGACCGAAAGACTTCAAGTTCTTCCAGAACTTCCCACTATCGGCTTATGGAACCACTCGTACTTGCAACTATTTCCATTCATAAAAAACGATAGATGAAATCGACGTCGAACACATAACGACTCTGGAGGGAGGGCTGGTATGGGCGGGTATCAACGATGGAATCCATCTCCGGACCGTGTGTTAGCGCGTAATTTGACCCTACACTCTAGTCCTCCTCTCTTGGTTCACTATAGTCCTCGAGATTTTACCCATGAGTTGCCGGAAACAAAAGTTCCCCCAAACCCTTCAAGGTCATTTTGTTGTACAGGATTGTCTTGCTGTTTAGGACTGTAGGACTATTATCGTGAGAGTTCTTTCCAACAATACCAATCGCTTCTGCTGGACCTGAAGATTGAAAATGCTGATTCTTCAGTCATTGACAACGACCGAAATGGTTGAGCTGATTGGGTAATAAAAATAAAATATCTGCAGAAAGCAAATTTTCGAAGACACAATTACAGCAGTGAGTTTAAGAAGCTTCATTTACCTAGTTCTTCACGACAAAGATGAAGAAGACTCCAGACAGTTAGGCGAAGCACTAGCTCTTGAGCACGTTCTGGTCTGAATCCCGGATTAATATTTGCCCTTTTA